CAGGCTTGGTAACAGGGAACCCTGCCTCGTCTGGGGGTCAAGAAAGAACCATTTGAGCTGATTTTGGAAGCGAGAGTCATAGTCAGAGGGAGGGAGTTCCAGACAGAGGGAAGGCTTGTGCCAGGCTGTGGGGGAGTGGGAGGGGACCCAGGAAACACGAGGAGACCGGTCTGCCAGGCCAAGCGAGGGGGGAGTTGCTGGGTGACCTTGGGGCCAGTGCAAAGCCCCCAGGAGCACCTGCAGCCTCAGCGTCAGCTGGTTCAGTGAGCACCTCCGAGGCACACACTCCCCCAGGCCCAAATGCAAGTCCAAACCTGTGACTGCCAGGGACCTGGGGTCAGACCCCCATGCCGTAAGCTCTCCGCCTACCTACCCAAGTCACATCTGTGCTAAGCCAACATGCCAGCTCTGGCTCAGGCTCCCAGGGTTTTCATGCTCTTTAAGATGGTCTACATTTCAATCATCCTCTAACCCTTCCTCAGTTCTTTCAGCACCAGGCGTTTTTAGATTGTTTAGGCTTTTACATTCGGAATGGGAGAGAGTCCAGGAAATTGGCCCATCTTCTTTCAGGAAGTAGAAAAAATAATAGACCCATCTGGACATTGGTGTGCGACAGCAGACTTGTGAAAAAACTGAAAACACAGCTCAGAGCGGCAGGTTCGTTTTGGGGACACTTTTGCATAGTTGAGCAATATGTCCCGCAGGGGAGCTGAGCTTAGTAACCAACTGTATTGGGCCAGTTGTTTGAAATGAAAGTTTGAGTTTACTTACAGAGACGATAACAATTTGGGGAAGAATCAGTGTGACAAGATTGTTCAGATGGAAACAGCACAGCAGACCTCAGCATCTCGGGCAGATAGCATCTTGCTTTACCGGCCTCCCGTCCTGAGAAGAACAAATAAACAGCGCACATTCTCTGGGTCTTTGGGATTACATGCCGGGTATAATTAATATGTCTGTTGGATTTCCTGTGTGGGTGGCACTGTATTAGAGTTCAGAAAATGTTTCTTCCCACACTTTGAGTATCATCAGTCTTTGGATCCAAGGCTCTTGCACGCATCAGCCTTTGGTCCACGGTCTTGTTTTTTCAGTTTTAGGAAAACTGTTTGAAGCCTTGCTGAGCACATTTGGGATGAAATGGTCCACAGGTGTCTTTCTCGACTTTTCTAATCCACACATACCAGTGAGATAAGTAGTGTTTCGACTTATCTAGTGACACGTCATACTCTCTTCCTCCAAACTGGAGCTCTCTGGAGCAGACAGACAGATGCTCACATTCTCATTTCTTTGTTTTTATTAGAGTAGAGTTCACTTACAATGTTGTGTTAGTTTCAGGTGTACACCACTGTCATTCAGTTATGAACATATATACATGAATATATATGAATGAGTTATGAATATACATATCCCTTTTCAGATTATTTTCCCTTATAGGTCATTACAAAATATTGAGTATAATTCCTCACATTGTCTTTTAAGCTTTGTGCTTTCATGGAAATTTCTTTGATTCAAAGTACCCTTGTACCTCAGCTGAGGTCTGGTAGCACATTTATTCTGCTTGCCTTTCTTTGTAAAGGTTGGTTAGAAGTCATCAGTTCTCGGGGAGTCTGGGCTACAGCACAATGTAGTTGTCACAAATGGGAAAAAATGTGATTACAGACCATTAAATGGGGCAAAGTTACAGCTTAAATGGACAGATGAAGGAGGTAACCTGGAGGGCGAATGGAAAGAGCAGGCACTTAGGATCAGACCCACTTACCTCCAATCCTGACTGCATTGTTACTACCACTCTACTGTTCTGAATCTCAATTATTTAACTAGAAAATGGGTAATAAACATAGGAAATGGCAACCCACTCCAGTATTCTCGCCTGGAGAATCCCATGGACAGAAGAGCCTAGCGGACTACAGTCCATGGGGTTGCAGAGTCAGGCACGACCAAGCAACTAAGCACACACCCATGCTGGGCCCCAGGGCAGTACTTCACTACTTTATCTTAATCCACTCTCTGAAGGTGACTGCTCTGAGGATGGAGATACCTAGGCATGTGTGATGTCTGTTGTTACCATTAGTAAGTATAACAGTAACTGCCATTTGTTAAGTGCCTAGTGCTAAACAGACAGGAATCAGGTAAGTCATTTGCATATTTATTGCCAGTCCTCACAATTATTGTATGCCCAGTTGCTTAGTCATGTCTGACTCTTTGCGACCCCATGGACGGTAGCCCACCAGGCTCCTCTGTCCATGGAATTCTCTAGGCAAGAGAGTGCAATGGGAGTGGGTTGCCATGTCCTCCTCCAGGGGATCTTCCTGACCCAGAGATCGAACCCATGTCTGCTGTGTCTCCTGCCCTGGCAGGTGGGTTCTTTTCCTGAGGCACCTGGGAAGCCCTTGGGGTCCAGACTGGACTTTACATTAAATGAGAATTGGGGCTGGAGATCTACTGCACTGAAAGCAGGAAAACAGTGGGCCCAGTAGATGAACCCCACAGGAGGAGGTGCTGTGGATGGACTCTCGTCCTCACCTCCAGAGTGGTGAATGAGGGAGCAGGGCAGGGTGTGTGTGGGACGGGTCAGTGCTAGGTCACGTCACTTCTGGAGTCACACGTGGTGAGGTCGGACACTGAATGACTGTGGACATTCTAGAGAGGTGGTCTGTGGTGGGCAAGCAACGTGGGACCCAGGAACCCCTTCCCGCCCCCACTTCCGAGATGAACCCGTCTCCTCTCCCTATTATGTGTGCGGAGTCCCTTCTCATCTCTTGGGGGCTGGGGATCAGATCAGTTAAGACTATAGAATCACCTCGAGATCTTTGAGTTTTACACCAGTGAAGTCACTTCTTTCCTGTAGGGAGGAAATTAAATAAATAAGTGGACAGTTTTCATCTTCCTGGAATCATTCAAAATAGAGGCTTGAGGCTCGACCACCCCTTCTATGGCGTCTCACACTCCGATCAGTTGAGTGCATGACTGCTGGCCACATTTGTCGTGCCCGTCAGTCTGGATGAATCGTCAATCAAGCCCGTTGAGTCCCTGTGAACTCTAGCAGGGTCAATGTTTTACATGTCCCTGACTCCTAAATGTGTCAGAGGTTTAGGTCATTAGAACTCACTTTGGCATGCTTCCCTCTTTCCCTCCAGATACGTACAAGACCATCTTCCATCTGCTCACACATCTGGTCATCACTGAGCGTGTGGATGGGGCTCACCCACCAGGGCAGGCATCTCAACAAGACGGAGGTTGTGGGTTCTGTTTTCATACATGATGGTGATTGTCTCCACTCCAGGAGCAGGCTCTGTTGCTGCAACCCGACCCCTGCCCCACCATCCTGTGCAGCTGTCCTGTTTGTGGGTGAGTCCTCTGCCAAGGTCAGCAGGAAGAGGATCCCTTGAATTCAGTTATTCTTTCAGCAAATAGGCATTGAGCTCTGTTAGTGTAGAGTTCGAGATCTCTTTCCTTCTTTGGCTTAGAGATGAAGTCATCAATGTCGATATCATTTTCACATGTAAAAACCCACATATTATTTTTATTTTTACCTTGATTATCATTCATGAGACATGGCTTTGTTTCTAGCTTCTCATTGCCCTGAGAGGGTCACTATAAAGAGGAAGATTTTTGGGCTGTTAGGGAAATTGAACAGTGAGATGCCATGAAGCTCATTTGTAATGGTTGCTCAAACTTTCTCTTATTTAAGGAACTCTGCTGTAGCTGGGTGGGCTTCCCAGGTGGCTCAGTGGTGAACAATCCACCTGCCCGTGCAGGAGATGTGGGTTGGATTCCTGGGTCAGGACAATCCTCTGGAGAAGGGAATGGCAACCCAGTCCAGTATTCGTGCCTGGAGAATCCCATGGACAGAGGAGCCTGGTGGGCTACAGTCCATGGGGTGAAAAGAGTCAGACACGACTGAAGTGGCCTAGCACGCATGCTGTAGCTGGGTGCTATTTTATTTTCATCATCTTCAGCCCTGGTTGGCTGTGTTGAAACGATGCCAGACTGAACATCGATACCAGGTGCCCGTCTTCCCAGAATTCAATATCACACCTGCAGGCAGAGTGTAAGATTACATCATGTGTCGTCCTGAGCCCCACAAATGACTCTAGACTTCATCTCAAATAACATTATAATTTACACTATGGAGACTTCAGGCTATGGAGCCCTGGCCAAATGAAAGTTTTTGCAGCCAAACACATCAAACCCAGTGTATTTTACTGTGCCGATGGGATTGTTTTTTCGAGAGAGTGGAATATAATTCAATCTATCAATGGCATTTCCAATCAGAAGTGCTTGTCCCTGAAAGGTGGGTGTATAAACATTTGGCTGTCAATTAAGAAGATGCCACAGAGGTTTGTGCTAGAAACCCAAGAAAAATGAAAGGACCCCAGTGCACTGTGTGGATTTCATTAGTGCTCAGAGAGGAAAGGAGGAACAATGAGAGGGTTTGTTTCTCCCAGAATGTCAGAGCAATGAACCTGTGGACTTCAAGTTGGAGAATACCTTCAGGCAGAATTGAAAAGCCGCCTGATGCAGACGTGTTCCCAGCCCCGGGGCACAACCTGCAGTCATGTCCTCTTAGCTTTTGGGAATGTTGTGTGGCTGTTTCGACACCTAGTCGCCTCCCGTACTCTCTCATCTCCCCCTTTGCACTTCAGTGCCTGCTGGGCTTTTCCTGGGGAGCGGATGTCGTTACCTGCTCACGCTTTGATCCGCTGGCTGGAAAGCAGTTGCTCCGCCTGGTCCAGATACTATCACAGATGGTTATATGAACAGAGGGAGGGACGTCTTCGTTCCCCATCTCCCCCACCAATGCCTTCAAAGGCTGGGAGGAGCGTTCCACCTGGCTATTGGGTTTCTGTGACTCTTGGATTCATGCTACAATCCTCTTATTTTCTGTGGAATTGCCCCAGAGTTTTGAGTCTTTCAGAGAGGCTGATTTTATCCTTAAAACTAGTGGGCCATAATTTGCGGTCTGGATATGAGGGTAGGAGTGTCCGAGAGATCTTTACCTCTCCCCTGCCCCAGACAACTCCCTCTTCACCTGTCCTGATTTGCCAGCATTTCCACAATTCTTCAGGAACTCAGAGTTCTTGAAGTCCTGAAGTTTCCTGTGCATCTCACATGCGTCCTAAGGATGTGGGGAGTGGGGGAGGAAGGGAGCTGGTTTTGGAATCTATAGAGTTTTGTGACAAGGAACGGGGACAACTGGTGTGTCCTGGATTCTCTGGGAGAAGGTTGTAGGAGAAGGTCGGAAAACAGCTGTGGGAGATGTGAGGAACCACCAGATGAACTTAATACACATCATAAATATTTGTCCCAGGACCACAAGCCACTGGTTTCATCATTTGGCAACCTATAAATCAGATGAACGTAGAAGTAGAGAGGAGGAGGGCTTTCCATCTCCAGCTGAGGAAAGCATGTCACCTGCCTTGTGGATGCATCTTCTCATCTGGTCCTCATGGTCAGTTTTGATTTGAATGATGTTCTGTGACATGGTTTTTATGGACCCCACACCAGGGAAGAATATGTATCAGGCAGCCTTGCTGTGGTCACAAATAGTCTCTAAGCCTCCATGTATACGGTGATGGTTTAGTTGCTAAGTCATGTTCAACTCTTTGCAACCCCATGAACTGTAGTCTGCCAGCTCCTCTGTCCATGGGATTTCCCAGGCACACATACTGAAGTGGGTTACCATTTCCTTCTCCAGGGGATCTTCCTGACCCAGGAATCAAGCCCAGGTCTCCTGCATTGCAGACAGTCTCTTTTGCATTGCAGGTGGATTCCTTACTGATTGAGCCACCAGGGAAGCCCCCTAGTCTCCAGTAATGTTGATTTCTTCTCAACATCTGCTGGTGACCACTGTTGGCTGTGACTGCCATGGTTCGACTCGGGTCAGCTTGGCCCTGCATCAAATGTCTGGTTCTTGGACTTAGGCTGAAGGCACAGTATGCACCAGGACAAGCCATCCTTATAGAGAAGGAAAGCACACGGAGGCTGGTGGAAAGCCTATAGCTTTGCACCCACCTTCTGAGTTCCCATAAAGCCACAAGGCCGAGCTGTCCTGTGGGGTAGGGAGAGGTGTCCTGTCTCCTCGGAGGCAACACAAGCCACAGAACAGCAACATGAAGGCCATCTTTCAGGCAAGGGGATGAACATGTGGGAACAGTCACATGGTCATCCCAGTGTGTCTGTGCTCACAAGACTTCTTGCTCAGTTTTTTAGAAATCCCGGGTAAATTGAGCTTTAGCGATTCAAAAGTGTTGGTGCATCTAAAGCCAACGCACTGGGTTTTTATCCGCAGCCATTTCTTATCTGCATGCTAACTGCTCTCCAGTGTTTTCCAGCGCATCATTTGTCTTTCAGACTGATGTTTTCAAAGGTGAGTTTAACTGAGACCTAAGCTGCACTGAAACAAAAAGGTTTCTCTTATATTTGGGTGTTCTTCTCTGGGAAAAAATAATGTTTTTTTTTCCTCTGTATTTAGGTATTCTCCTCTTGAGTTTAAATTTTGCTTCATTATTAAATACATGATGATAAAATGTTCATATTTTCTTTCAAGAGGACTCCATACACACAGCTAATGAATTAAATATCAACATTATTCACAAGTATTGACAGTAATATACATGGATTTTTTTATCCCAAAGGCAGGTCTAGGGGACTTTAGCCTCTCTGTTCATCAGTCCCCTAACATCCTCTGTGGTTAGGTCATTAAAGAGTTCTTGGCACTTTACCTAAAGGCTTTGGGGTGTTAATCCTGGTTTCCTGGTCAGGTTCCAACGAGGGTCACAACATTCTGACTTCTTAAATCACTCCTGTAATCTTGGTCCCACGGGGGTGCTCACTCCACTTTTGGTCCCACGTGCTTTCGCTCAGCGGCTTGCTGGTAGAGAGACGTGCCGTCTTCTTTTGGGAACGAGATGATGACCATTTACGAGCACTTCTAAGAACCTCTGAGCTGCAGTGGTGTTGGTGAGCTCTCATGAGTCCTCAGAAGTCTGGATGAGGGCTCGCCCTGACGTGGACCCCAGATGGGACCTCAGGCAGGGCACAGTCCTTCCTCCCTGTGCTCCCCCGGGGAGCTCACCCCACGGAGGAGCCCCAGCGAGAATCTCCCACCCAGACCCTCCTCTGGAGAGGGGATGTGCCAGCTCTCAGAAGCCTTCCTGGGGTGCTCGCCGCAGGCTGCTCGGAGAAAACTCAAACAATCTCTCTTGGAAAAACTGGAGATCTTGGAGAAGCAATTTTGGAGATTCACCGAGAACCAGTAATGAACATTTGTTTCTTAATGTTTAAGGACGTATTTGATTATTTATATGTTAATATATGTCTCACTAATATAGCCTATTTAGAAAGATGTATTTATGTGCACATATCCTTAATGGTACAAACTTGAGTCCTGTTTTTATTCTTTTTAATAAAGTGTGAAAGGACTTGCACAAAAATTTAAGCTTCTAATAGCCAAATGGATACTTCATGCCTGTGTGCACATTTGATCTCCTAGGAGTCACACTAGTTTTCAATGTTTTCACCAATAAAACCCTTATTAATTAGTTCTTGCCCTATTGCTTCCAGATTTGAAACGTTTTTGCCTCCTAAATGGAGTGTTGCCGTTGTTCAGTTGCTTAGTCGTGTCCAAAATTTTGAGACCCCCTGGACATCAGCTCCCTTGTCCTTCACTACATCCCAGAGTTTGTTCAAACTCAACATCCATTGAGTCAGTGATGCCATGCAACCATCCCATCTTCTGTTGTCCCCTTTTCCCCCTGCCTTCAGTTTTTCCCAGCATCAGGGTCTTTTGCAAAGAGTTGGCTCTTGCATCAGGTGGCCAAAGTATTGGAGCTTCAGCTTTAGCATCAATCCTTCCAGTGAATATTCAGGGCTGTTTTCTTTTCAGATTGACAGGTTTGATCTCCTTAATGATTTTGAATTGTGGTGCTAGAAAAGACCCTTGAGAGTCTCTTGGACTGCAAGAAGATCAAACCCTTGGATAGCAAGGAATGCATTAAGTAATAATTCACTCTCCTATTTTCTGATTTTATCACACACACATGTAGCCAATAATCACAATTATTATTATGGATCACCCAGAACTCACCACTGGACAGTGACCCCTTCAGCCTAGGGGCTCTGCAGAGGAGGAGAAGGCATCTCAGGTGGCTTCTCTGAGCTGGAGCAGCGGACACAGCTGTTGACCCATCTGCGACCTTAGAATCCGGGGTTCCAGCTGGACACCTGGCTTCTCAGGTAAGAGCCACACCTTCCACTTCCCTTCCGTCTTTCTGGCCCTGCCTCTGGATCCTAGCAGGCGATCATGAGCAGGAGGGGTGCAGGCAGCTCCCACATGGAAGGAGCATGGCTTCTCCTCCTTTCTTTGCTCTTCCCGGGGTGGGAGGCTGGTGGGGAGCCCCCGTTATGGAGGACACCCTGAGTGACCCGATAGGGACAGTCTGGGTCCCGGGGCTCTTATGCAACAATCTGGTGAGGAAAAGCAGATGCAGACATGAGTTTGGGTGGGAGGGATGACACCGAGACCCCAGGTTCTTCCCACCAGCCTTGGCGCTGCCAGCCTGGGCTGGTTCCCTGCGGTCTCCTGCCGTCCAGGGTAAACCCTTCACCTTGGGGTTGCTGTCACTGTCACCACAGCCAGTCTGGACGTCATGGCATCCGAGGACTCAGGTATTAGTGAGCATGACCACTAAGCATTTGTATCATATGCATGTGTCTGAAGGAAAGTGGTCAGCTGACTTCACGGCAGAAGGATGAAGCCTCTAAACCTGATGTCTTCAGCCCCTTTCTCCCACAACTCACCTTCCCTCCAGGAGATGGGTCATAGGACTTGGGTCTATCCTTGACCCTCATAGTCCAGGCATCTGTATGTATCAATACATCCTCTCATTTCCTCCTGGGCAGCTCAGACCAGGTCATAGCATTTGACGGATGTTGCTAGGCTTGCAGAGCATTAGAAAGAATGATTTCTACGGTGAATAATGTACACCTGGCTCTCTGGTGGTTCTCTTCCCACAATTGGACGTACCCTGCTCTCCCCAGTTCCCTGCGGGCAGAACCCCAAGCTTGCTTCTTCTTTTCCGAGGCCAGTTCATGCCCTTCACCACTGTAGCACCCCAGGCCACATGGAGGCCGAGAGGCCCCAGGGGAGTTTGGGGTATCGTCCCGTCTAAAGCTGCGGGCAAGAGAACAGTTGTGTGCTCAGCATCCTCTCTTTTCAGGAAGATGGGCATGTGGGGGGCTGACTCCCCCATAGAGAGAAGTGGTGCTGTCCTCCCAGACCTACCTGGGGACAGTGAGGGGAACTGGACCATCTGCTCACCATTTTCGGATTTAACTTTTCCAGTTTCCCTGGTGGCTCAGACAGTAAAGAATCCACCTGCAATGTAGGAGATCCACATTCAGTCCCTGGGTTGGGAAGATTCCCTGGAGACAGAAATGGCAACCCACTCCAGTGTTCTTGCCTGGAGAATCCCATGGACAGAGGAGCCTGGTGGGCTACAGTCCATGGGGTCACAAAGAGTCAGACATGACTGAGTGACTCACATTTCACAGATGAGTAAAAGAGGAGCCAGAATGTTTAAACAACTTAGCCAAGATCACATGGATTTCAGGTTTCAGAACCAGAATTTGAACCCACGAAGGGTCTCCACATGCCGATCCAGACCTACCCCGAACCAGCTGTCAGAACCTTCTGGGAGCTTGTTAAAACAGAGGTCAGTTCCTGATCCCACAAGAGGGTTTTAGGTAGTTTGGGATGAGTTTGCATTTTATTTTTCATCATCTCCCCAGGCAGTTCCAGTGCATGGCCACATTTGGGAACTACTGTTTAGTGCCTCCCAGGCCACGTCAGTCTAGAAATTTTTTACAGTCTTTTCCCTTTTGCCCACTTCCTCCCCACCCACCACCCCCAACCTCCCCAACCCCCTTGACAAGCGAATGGTTCCAAATGAGAGTCCTGGGTCACAGAGAAAAGTGACACTCAACACCTGTCCAGGCAGGGCTGAGAGCTTAGTTAGATGAGATCACTTAGTTAGAAGAGATCACTACTTACTGAGTGATACTCTGTGACCTGTCACAGAGCATAATAATGTACACCCCAGTTTGCCTGAGATGTCTGTTTGGGGAGGCCACATCACACATGGGAGATGATTGAAGGGTAACAAAAAGTGGGGATAGATTCCAAGTTATAGCCAACTGATGCTCCAGGAACTAGAACCAGTGAGAAGTGAAAGGTTACAGAGAACAGGAGAAGCAGGGGAAGTCTCCTGAAGGAGATAATGCTTGGATTAAGTCAAGAAGAAGGAGTGGGAAAGGCACTCATAGTGGGAAGGTATAGGAAAGGCAATCATAGGTCTGAAACCTCCGTGCAGTGGGAAGAGATGAGCAAAGGCGCTTGTGTGCTGAACCACGAGGGTGATGAGGATGCTGTTTGTAATTGGTACTTGTGGTGGTGGTTTAGTCGCCCAGTCGTGTCTGACTCTTTGCCCCCATGGACTGTAGCCCACCAGGCTCCTCTGTCCCTGGGATTTCCCAGGCAAGAACACTGGAGTGGGTTGCCATTTTCTTCTCCAGGGGATCTTCCCAACCCAGGGATCGAAACTGGGTCTCCTGCATTGGCAGGTGAATTCTTTGTCACTGAGCTACCAAGGAAGCCCAGCTTTGATACTTATTTCCTGAATTTGAGCAAACTCCGGGAGATAGTGGAGGACAGTTAAGCCTGGAGTGCTGCAGTCCAGTGGGTCACAAAGAGTCAGACACGACTTAGCGACCGAACAACTTGTTTCCTGAGTTATTGAGGTTGTCAGTTGGAACATCTCACAGATAACAATCTGAAAGTGTGTCTGAGAGGGAGAATGAAGCAAGTTGAGGCTAGGGAGGGGTGAGGAGCATCTTTGGAGGATGTGGGCCTGGGGGGTGGGTGTTGGCTGCTGGGATGTGCTAGATAGAGAGTGGGATGGGCAAGTGGGGAGACGGTCTCTCCTGGGACACCCTGGCCACAGGAGGACCGTTCGCCATGACCCGCCTTTCTTACACTCAGAGCCTGAGGTCACATCCCCCTCCTGCCCCATGGGTTAGGCTGGTTTGGGAAGCGAAACATTTATTCTCCCTTGAAAACAAACTTTACATCATTGATCTGCCGCTAAAAAATGTTTGTGCTGAATTCCTGCTTCTGAGCCAGTATGACTCAGATGGTGCACATTTCAAAATTCTCTCAACATCATTTCACATAAAAAAGAATCGTCTTACGTCGGGCCAATTCTGTTAAAAAGCAACAACCTCGTATCACTAATACATCGCTGGATTGATTCATGGCATTCATCTTCAAAGACCTGGATAATCAACTCTATTTGCAAATCCTTATTAACGCGGAGATAAATGTTATCATAAATTGAACTTTCCTATGATGAGCTAAATTTTTTGGTCTTTAGAGTTCATTTCCAGAATATTCGATAGCATGACTGCAAGGGCCGCATGGCACTTTCCCAATTGGACGCAGTCAGAGGGTTTTTGTTTTTTTTTTTGCCTCCTTTTCCTTTAAGCGAGATGATAAACACTTAATAAGAAGATGGAACTTGTGGAAAGTGGCCAGAAGAGAATAGCATTCTGCCGACGGAATTCCACTTCAGATGCCGGGCTGGAGAGAAACCCTCCTCTCCACTCCTTCGCCTTCAGAGGATGGCTTTAAAAACTGTGAAAACAGAGAAAGCCCAGTGTGTGGTCTTTGGCAATTTCGTAACAGTCTGTGCAGGAGACGGAGGGGGAAGGTTTGCTGGAAAAAATGATTAGCTTTTTCTTTACGATGACAGAAAACAGTTGCAATTCAAGGATGCCAAAGGTTCTGCAGCCCTCCCCTTTGGCAAATTGTTAGGTAATCACTGCTCCCAGGTGGTGCTTTCAATAAAGGCCCTGGAAAGTCACACCCCAGAGATGCCCTGGGGCAGAGCCCCTGTCAGCCAGCCGGGGGAGAAAGC